TCTGAGATATTATTAATGTTATCATATTCTATAAGTTTCATGGAAATCGGTTTGTAATTGCGGTCTGTAGCCGTGCCACATGAAATGTGTGGTAACCTGATATCTCGGAAACCGCTAACCGGAAGTGGTCGAAATTTTGCCTACTCTGAGATATTATTAATGTTATTATGCAAGTTTCATTGAAATCGGTTTGTAATTGCGGTCTGTAGCCGTGGCACATGAAATGTGTGGTAACATAATATCTCGGAAACCGCTAACCGGAAATGGCCGAAATTGTGGCTGCTTTGAGATATTATTAAAGTTATTATAATCTGCAAGTTTCATTGAAATCGGTTGATAATTGCGGTACGGAGACTTGCCACATGTGGCAAATAGTCTCCGGATTGTCTTACCACATGTGGCAAATAGCCCCAGCCGATAAAGAATGCAAGGAATGATTTGGTTTACATCGAAGCGCAACTACTTCTTGCCTCCAGACTCCAGTTTCCTCTCACTGCTTAAAAAGACCCATCAATCAAGTGAATTATTGAAATAAAACTGAACCATGTTAGTCCCGAAATTACCTAGTTTGTGTCGAGTGGACGTTAAACCAAATTTCTCTCTAGTCTCTGAAGTGTCTCTCTAGTCTCTCCTTACATTACATTAATAGCACATTGATTTGATTTGATTTAGCTTAGACAAGTTAGAGCGAGAGGTCATATTATCTAAGATCTAGGCCTACAGAAGTACAGCCTCAGGGATTTGAGGGAATATATCATAAGGTGTTTTTACGAGAAACCGATTATGGCTAATCGATTTGCATTTCCTTTCCAAACACATTTACGGCAAAAATTAGACTAATCGGTTTCACCTAATTGTCGAATTTACCACGACGATTTGCCAAATCGATTATGCAAATCTTCCAACTTGCTCGCCTGCCGGATTGACGATTCGATTTCCAAGATGGCGTCCCCAACAAGGGACACGACGTGCCCGACGTTAGATCATTTTCTTTTGAAATTCACGTTAAAATATGAATATTATGGACATTCCTAATAAAAATACGGGGCATTTGGGGACAGTCAACTGGTACAACTTTTCGTTTTTATTTTTGGGCGGTGTCGCCAAGAACATAATAAAGAAAAGTGAATTTTTTTAACATTTTTCCTCAATGCTTCAGTCTTCAGCCATCTTGCGAGGCAACTCATCGCGTTTACGAGAACCGATTCGAATACCAACTCGAGACCTATGTCTTTGTACAAAACGAGATAGGTAATCGAAACCGATTTGTTTTCTCGTAAAAACGCCTATAATATGCAATATAATGCCAATTAAGCCTAACCAATCAAATATAAAAACATCTTTCACCAAATATGTACTCTTACAAAATAAAATTTCTGATGATATATATTGCTGTTCTTATAATCTATATTATATCTATGTTATTATGGCTCAGTAATAGCACTAGGCCTAGCAGCACTCGACGATGACTCGTATCGTACTAGTAGAGTCGTAGCAGACGACGCGACGTAGACTGAGCTCTTTTTCTTCAGGAATGCTGAATTTTTTTAATCCCTTAATATTCCCTAAAATTAAAACACTCGACATAGGACCTACTCTGGGTACCATATCCACCACTCGGATGTTTACATTTTCTTCTTTTCAACTGCGAAACGTCTTCTTTAGCCGCCATGTTTAGAGGACTGGCTACATATCTGTCTGGGATTCACCTGCTTGTAATCGACCAATACGGCAATAGCGTTGTTGCGTTGGTTTTCGTTCAGATGTGGCATCACTTGGTTCGCTGAGTGTTTACATGTGCAACTGATTTGGATATAATAGGCCTTAGATTTAGGTTCCATGCGAAAAGCTCGCAAAGTTGTTAAATTCATGTGTCTTGGTGCATTCAAGCGAAAACAAATTTCGGCAAAAATGATGACCCTACATTTAAAACCAATAATGAATTTATTTTACCCTTACATAATGACATTTAAAAAAAAAGTAAGATTTATGGAAACAACGATCTCGTGCAAATAAAAAAAAAAAGATGAAAAATGGGCTGTGTGTTTTATTGTTTGAAGAGTAAATATTAGGCCTATACATACCAAAATACCACACAAAGACAGTCATGCCCACAAAGCAGTCATGTTTCGGGAGCAGTTTTTCCAAAGGAAAAATAAGATACGGACCAACCTTGATAAGGAATGTGGCCACTGTTGCTTGCTTGTCTTGGTTCTTTAACGTCTGCTTCCGCTAAAGTGATATTGCAGATAAAAAAACTAAGAAGAGCAGAAGCTTATTCCAGTATTTTTAGAACGATTTTTAAATCTTACCATTTACGGCCTAATTAGGCCACGGATTTCTACCCTGTGTTTAATACCGTCTCCATTAGCCCAGTCGGAGCAGAACAGTAGGACGTTTAAATCGGATCAAAATTGCGACCTGCATAGTATAGGGTCACAACCTAACCTTTACATACCAGACCCTCCCACAATGAAGCTAAGTTGACAGACATTGCGTCTAACAGCTTACTTATAGTTATAGGCGAATAAAAAGTTTTGAGAGGGAATTGAAGCAAATGTTTGATAGATTGGTTACTTTGAATATGTTTTTAGTCCGGATATATCATCAAATCAAAGTTTGTACGCGGGAATGTATCTTTAACCCTTGTCGGTTCACGTGGGGTCCCCCATGCACATTGTTTTATAGTGTTTTGTAACAACTACTTGGTTCAACTTTCTTAAATTTAGTGACTTTGTCTCCAATACATTTTTACACGTAGCAAAGAGATCGGTATTCATATGCTTCCCACATGCAGATGTCACATGCAAATCAGGCCCCACGCTTGAAGGGAACAAGGGGTCCTAACTTGTAACTCACAGTAGGGATTTTGCTAATGTGTTTGCTGCCTGAAACCATATTGCGTATGTCAGAGTATTCCCATTTTTATTCATCTGCATGTTACAAATACCAAAAATTAAATGATGAATTCCAAATATTGAATGGTTTTTTGTATCAAGCGTGTATTGACATTTAACCTTTTTATCACAAAGTATCAATTTGGTGAGAATTATTAAATCTTTTCCATATGCCACTAAAATGTTTTTGGATAATAATTTTAGTTGTTTTTCAGATGTCAAATATGAATGCAAATAAAACCAAACCACTGCCTTTTAATTCAAATATATCTGCATGTAAAAAGTTGAATTATAACTGGGGTCAATATGGACCACATGATACCTGCTATGTGATTCTCACAACGTGAACCCACAAGCGAGAATTTCATATTTTCTAAGAAAGTCAAAACATAATTATTTCTATGTCTTTTGCTCGTTAGGTTGTCAAGTCACAATTATACGACCGTAGGTATCATTATCACACTTATAAAATCATTCACACCGGAAATAATGACAATTACCTCCCTTGTTTTTCTATTCCCCCATGGAATAGCTATCTTCAAACGTTTGAATTTGAAAATGTAATTTCTCAACTGGCAATAGTGAATTATAGGATTAATCTTTAAGAATATAGGACTGTTTATAGATACCATCTATTTTAAGGCTTTATTTTAATACATTTTAAAAATATGAAATTCTCGCTTTAAGCACAAGCAATTGTGGACACCGGACGGACGTGACAACATTATACGACCACATTTCAATGTGGTTAAAAACAAAGTCATGGGTATCACAAAACCATCTTTTATAGTATCTAACGTTTCGTAAGTCTAAAAACCTACTTCTTCAAAAAATACAAGCTACAAATGGTTTTGGATTCCTCTCTCTTTATATATTTGGATTCACATTTCAATGTGGGCGTATAAAAATACAAGAAATGGGCGTGGCTCTGTCCCATGCACCAAAACCAATAGGGACCCTCCTTAGGTATAAGGAATTCATACAAAATTAAGAATTGTGGCCTGTAGGCTTCACTCAGACACTAAAAAAGAAAATGGGCGTTGCTCTGCCCCTGGGGTGTTCCTAAGGGAACAAAGAATAAGTATGCAAAGTTTCAAAATGATACGTTAAGAAATGCCGTCTAGATGACAAGCAAACAAATACAAGAAATGGGCGTGGCTCTGCCCCTGGTGATTGGACATGCACCAAAAATAATCGGGATCATCCATAGGGTATAAGGAATAAGTATGTAAAGTTTCAAGATGATCACTTAAACATGCATTATGCAAGAGCTAAATCTGCCTCTTGCAGGTCTTTCTAAAGTATTACTTAAACATTTGAATAATTAACTCTCGATGGCATCAGATTTCTCCGATACTAAATAGATTAGAATGGTTCAGCGATACTTTGAGTTAATCAAATATGGAGGACCGAGACTTAGCTTCGATCAACCAGTACGGTGGTTGAAATTATTGCACACGTCTGTCAAACCTTCAAAGGCTAATAACTTCGCTTGCAATAGAGTAATTTGAATGAAATTTTCAAATTATTAATTTTACATCATCTACTTTCGAACTATTATAGCAAGAATGGCTAGTTCTTGATCTAAATCTTACATAATGCATCTTTAAGAAATGTGGCCTGTAGGCGACACACCAAAAAAATGGGGGTAACTGGCTCTGCCCCTGGGGGTTGGGCATTCATAATGTGGACGTATAAAAACAGTTCACAACAACAATCTCTACTGCAGCAGCAATTCCCGGACAACATATAATCTCAGACCAGACAGTCCGTAAATGCCTACGTGAAACCGGATTATGAGCCAGAGGTCTCTGTTGGAGCTGCTTTTTTTAAATACGCCGACACCATGAAATCCAACTTTGATCGGTTCAGACACTGAGGGTATGGCTCCAGCAACACTGGAGAGCAGTTTGGTTCAGAAGGGCGATGGTAGAGCGAGGGTATACCGACGATGAAATGTCACATTGCGTTTCTTTTTTTTGGAGAGTATATTTCTGGAATTCAACTCTCCCTGTTTACTATTTTGCCAGTGGTGGGGCAATTGAAAAGGAGATTCTTGTGACCCTCACTTTTAAAATAGTGATCTCTTAGAAAGCAAAAAAATCTAAATAGGATCATTTTATTTTTAAAAATACCCAACAATCTATAACCATAAATTGTTCATGATTATATAAAACATCAATACGAAACAACGAACAGGACATCATGGATACATAATAACGAATAGAACAAAAAAGATCCTGGAAGATTTACAGTAAAACAGATTTCTTTTGAAAATACATAGTCCAACCAAGGAATGATTGTTGTCCTAAAATTATAGTAAACAAGCCAACAGTGAGGCTGATGTCCCCCGAAAATAAATAGATGACACATTAATTGCACATTTTTCTTTTTCAAAAGTATCGAGCAATCTATACTCGAGAGTTTGATTGATCTCACCCAATTAGAACCAAAATTGTCGTGTTCAAATTGTCTCGGAAAATATGCATGATCAAACTCATATCGAGGCAATCACCTAATAGACACCTACACCTAGTTTGAACATTCTACCTCAATTAGGAGAGTTATTGTGTTCCAAAGTCTCGACCAATCAAATTGCTTATCGCTCTGCTTACCCCGAGCCGAAAATGCTCATTATCGAATTTAGTCATGGTATTGATGTGACGAAACTATACACTAAGTTTCATCACTCTCACTAATAGGACCAAAGGTGACACGTCCCAAAGCATCAACCAATCCAATTGCTTATTAATTTTGCTTACCCTAAGCAAAAAATGCTCATATTCAAACTCCATCAAGGCATTCACCTAACACCCATACCAAGTTTGAACATTTCAGATCAATTAGGAGAATTTCTGTGTCCAAAAAGGATGACAGACGCATTTAAATAATCCCCTGCTTTCTTCAAAAGATGGGGGACAATATGGTCGCAATATGAATAAAGATGATATTTTAATTTAAACATAAAAGATGAAAAAAAGAAAAATGTTATAAAACTATATTTTACCGATCTATAGAAGTATCAATATGTAAATGTGAACAATGAACTACTCATAAGAATGATAGATAAAATGTTCGGGTTGGAGAAGTATTTAGGTACAAAAATAACAAATACGGGCTAGTTAATAAATTTCTTTCAATGAAATGAAAAGGTGTTTAACGCCCTAATGGAAACAAATTCAGCGTACTATTTTGATAACCATTTGTTTTCCTAGAAATTCTTACATTAACAAAATGCTTTAAATTCTTGAAATACTTAATACAAGAACAATGATCTTGTGTGGAAATGAATCTTATAGATATGGCATATTTGTACAAGTATGTATTTATATATGGTCTTGAAGAATGTCCTAAATTTTGTACACATGTTAAAGATAGGTTGCCAGGCAACATAACATACGCCCACAGCAGCTAAATCGTCAGACAGGTCAACAAGGGTTGTCGCATATTTAATCTTTTGTAGGTAATGGAGAGGGGGTATTTACAAGAACATATAGATTAGATTTAATTTTCGTCCTTTGAGGGTTCACAAGGTGCTACAAACTACCACAAGGGCCTTCAAGGGCCTTAAAAGACTAATTTAAAGGATGCACATAGATTTCATACAGATCAGATGATAATTTTTGTCTTTAGAGTGTTCACAAGATGGGAGTGAGGACAATATACAACCACATTTCCATGTGGGTGTATAAAAACATTACATTCACAAAAGATGGCTGATTTTACAGCTAACATTGCACAATGATATCATTTTCATCTTTATATTGTAACAAACTATAACGACCACTTCTACAACCCAAAATCTTAAGCTTTTCAACCAATGTCTGAGGATCTGCGTTTTTAAGGAAATCTTTCTGAATAATAATACAACCATTTTTAAACTGGTTGTTGCCACCTCTTTTAATTGTCAAGGTAACAGCGTAATTTTTGCATCTTTCTTTTAGACAGATGACATGGTAGTTTGGGAAATCATTTCCAAATATCAGCTCTTCGAACCCAGTACTACGACTGAAGTTGATTATCATACCCTCCAATATATGGTCAATCCAAGGTGAGAGTTCATCAGGTTCTGGATCAGTTGCACCACGTGCGATATAATTTGACGGTTCAAATGTACTTTCTAAATCTGGTTGTTCATTCTTCAGCTGTCGTGCTTTAACTTTTGCTCTGTTGAAGTCGATGGACAAGTTTTTATAATTTCGATCTTCAATCTATGAGTTCAATTATAAAAAACAAAACAATTATAAAAAAACAATATGTTCTAAAATAGTCAATTCGGCTTTAAAATTCTACATCTCAGCACCAACAGGACCAATGAAGACCGGCCTACGTCATGCAGTGTGCTATGTGCGAAATTTTGCCAGGAGAGCATTTCATCAAATTCCAACTTAAAGGATTCTTTTATGTCAATGGGTTGTGTTGAACCGGTCAGAATTGTGTTACCCAAAGACTAATTTAAGCATGAAATGGATACCATTGCAGTGAGAATTAATAAATTTATTAATTGTTGGACCACTGTAAAGGATTCTTTTATGTCAATGGTTTGTGTTTATGATTTTCATGAATTTGAACCTATCAGAATTAATTGAGTTACCCAAAGACTAATTTAAGCCCGAAATGGATATCATTTCAGTGAGAATCAATAAATTTATTAATTGTTGGACCGATATGTAATATCTTTTGAGCAGTTAATTTCCAACATTTTGAATGACCTAAAACATCTTTTACAACAATTTACAAGATAAAACAAATTCTTACTTGTACAATGGTACAGTTTTGCTTCAGATATGTGTAAGCTTTATCAGCAGCAATCAGTTTGGATTCAAGTTTATTATAACCAAAACCTTCTCCTACCACCTTCTCGTGTAAGAAAATAAAAGTCCTGGAGGGAAAACAAATGGATTTGAATTATATTAAACATACATTATGCAAAAGCTAAATCTGCCTATTGCAGGTCTTTCTTTAGGCCTGAAATTTTATCTAAATTATTGTTTAGACATTAACTTATCCAGACCATAATCAACTCTCCATGGCATTGCTAGCCTGCGATGTTTATCGGATTAGTTTCTGATTTCCTGTTTGACTTCCATTCATAATTTGATCATGGAATGGATAATTGAGACTGTTTTTGATCGTACCGACTTTAGTAATGATGATCGAGACTAATCCGAAAATTCAATAGCTAAAATCTTGGTTCAGAGTGGATCAATTTTTCTGAAATTTTCAGCAAATTTCCTTAACATTATCTAGTTTTTAATTACATGTACATGTCTTATAGTGTGAAATGCCAGCTCTTTATCTTATCTCCCATAATGTATTTTTAAGACAAACATGATTTTTAATAAAGTAATTTGAATTGTGTATGGAATTTTACATTTAACCTTTATTCTAGCAAATTGGGTCTATATAATAAAGTTTATTAAAATATATTTAAGAAACTTTTTTTTAAAAAAATAATCCACGATGCACAGAAAAAGAATTCTTAAAGATAAAAATGAACATGCCTGTAGACAGCCTCTTCATCTCTACTGTACATTGTGTATTCCAATTGCATGCGGTTAGCTAAAGCCACTGCTTCAAGAAGCTTGTATGAATCAGAGTTATAAGCACGACCATATTCGTATAAGACGACATCTCGCTTCCCGCTAACATCCTCTACAACCGTATCTGGATAACTTTTCTTCAGTGCAAACAAGTTAGTTCCTCTTTCATAATTTTTGGCCTTAAATTGTACATCAATCACACTGGGACTAAAGTAATCCAAATCCTGCAATCGCTTGTTTTCACTAATTATTTCATCTGGTGTTATGCCAAAATGTAGCATGAGACGCCTGGCATTACGATAGGCAAACTGGTAAGCCGTTTTCTTATCCTTAGCTTCTCCAGAACCAAGCATCAGATCATCAGCATACAGTTCACATATAACTGTATTAGTAGCATCATTCTGTAAGTAGACTAATGTAACTCCTGCATCAGCATTACCACTTGCTAAATCAAACTGATGAACAAGGTTGTTTTCAGTTGATGCGAATCTGCTCGATTCCATTAATTCTTCCCGTAAAACATTGACTAATGCTCGAAGACGATAATGGACAAATCGATGAGTTCTATGTTTTCGTCCTTGTTCAGAAGCTTCCTTATTCAGTGCTACTGCAAGTATGTTACCTGCTGCAAAAATTTCACTTACAGTTTTAGATAACAGCATATAAACAGCTTTGGAGTAAACCTTGTCTTTGACATGATGGTTAGTTAAACCACGTTCAGATGCTAACAACACACCATTTATCTTTAAATAACCACCAATATAGAGGTCTTTGGACACATCCTCAGTAGTTTCATAAATAGTACGAATCTTGACTACTTCTGTATTGTCATGTCTTGTAGTTTCAATGGCAGAAACTGGTGAATAGATATCCTTATAATCAAACAGTAATTTACTGAAAGTGTTTAGTTTTCCTTCTACACTGACTGAGTATTCAGTAGCGTCTTCAACTGGATAAGCACCTCGTCCAGCATAAGCACCTCCGGGTTTACCTCTTGTTGGTGGATATCCTCTTCCTCGACCTCTGGTACCAGCGCTCCTTGCTAAATGGCTTTCCTCAGCTTCATAACCCAAGGGATCCCTTGTAGGTACACGAGCATAAGGATCCTCATAAGGTACATCATATCTATCCTCTCCATAAGGATCTTTGCCATACATTTCATATTCACCTCGAGCAGGTGGAAGTTCTCTTCCTCGATAAGGGTCCTCTGCTCTTCTATATGTATCTGCAGCATAGGGATCTGGGGCATAGGGATCTGGGGCATAGGGATCAGGAGCATAAGGATCCTTGGCATACAAATCATTAGCATATGGATCTGCAGCATACGGAACATCAGTATAGGGATCCTTGGCATAAGAACCAAAGTCAGAGACCCGTCCGCGGACTGGATCGCTTGGATAAGAGCTTGAACCATAGTCTAAATTTTCCAGTGAATAGTATGGATCATCCACAGGTGATCCATAACCTCTACCCCGGCCTCTGCTGCGTGAATCACTGCCTCTTCCTCTGGTATCTCGACCCTGTTCTGTATCAGCACCTCGACCACGTGTAAAACTGTTGTATCCTGCACCACCACCTCGTCCTTTGCTGAAACTGTCGAGCCCTACATCACCACCTCGTCCTCTGCTAAAACTGTCATGCCCTATATCACCACCTAGTCCACTGGTAAAACTGTCACGTCCTACATCACCACCATAACCTACATCCCCACCTCGTCCTCTGGTGAAACTGCCACGTCCTACATCACCAATTCGTCCTCTGGTAAAACTGCTACGTCCTACATCACCACCATAACCAACATCATAACCTCGTCCTTTGGTAAAACTGCCTTGACCCGCATCACCTCCATAACCTATATCACCACCTCGCCCTCTGTTGAAACTACCTCGTCCTGAATCACCACCTCTACCTCTGGTCTCTCCGCCTAGACCCCGGCCCGTGGCAAAACCACCTCTATTACTAGTATCACTACCTCTTCCATTATTAAAACTGGACTGAGAGAAAGGTTCAACATCTTGTACAGCAGGAACACCTCCTAAACCAGCTAACATTTTAGACTGCATTTCCAGTAATTTCTGTTGTTTCTCTAATACTTGATTTACATGATCAGCTCCAACATTACTAGTTTTTAGATTGGCTATCTCTCTTTGGGAATCCTCTATCATTTTGCTCATCTCTTCAACAGATGATGTTTTTGATCTTTTAATATCCAATGGATCATAATTATCTACTGGACGTTTATCTACAAAGTACAAAATTGGTTTAAATGTTAAAGTTATGTTTTTGTAATAATTTATACATACATTTTTTATACGATTTAGATCATATTTAAAATATACATTTTCTATACGATTTAGATCATATTTAAAACATACATTTTTTCATACGATTTAGATTATTGGTCCCCTACCAGTGTAAAGAATAAGACCTTTTTAATTTAGGATATGCAATCAGATCAATTTCAGGCTGTCAAAATATCCCAATTGGTAGTATTACCAATTACGTCTATCTACATACATGTAATGGCATACACACATTATTGTATTATACTTATACTAATTAATTCAACTTACATCCTCCTCGATTGACTCCCTCATTAAATGAGTTACCTCCTCTGCCACCTCGTCCACGTCCAAATTCTATACCTTGACCTCTTCCTCCTCGACCTCTCCCTCCGCCCCATGTTGAAGCCATTTTCTACAGAAATTATATCCTTCAAAACAAAACAGTAAGATTATATAATTGATTCAAAAGGTAGCTATTAAAGACAACATTTGTATAAATACATCTGAGCAGTATGATTTACATGTACTTGGATTATCAAGTCAGTGGAAAATATTTCAATCCTGGCTTGCTGTACTGTGCACCCAAAACAACTGGAACAGGCATGACATTAATGGATTTTGAAAGAAATTTTTGTTCCAGCTTTTAATTCATAAAGACAAGAAAAAAAAAACCCTGCAATGTACTGGATTATCTTTTATGGGGTCATAGTAGCTCTCAAAACAAAAGTGTGACCAAATGTTCTTTAATTTTTCACAGGTGGCCTCTTGCGAGTGAATGGTAAAAATATTTATAAAAAATAAAACAATGAAAAATGGAGATGATTAATTTTATGCAACATTAAATTCAAAATAATATGTCTATTCCATCCATTTCTAAATTCTAGCAGTAGGTGGATAACTGCAACAGATATTCGATTCCAACAGCCTTTATTCTCTCATTATTTTTATATAAATATATACATTCTTTGAAATGATTAAAATGTTTTCGTTCGGAGTTGTAGTTAAATGCTTTTTTGGGTCTTTTAGAGTGGTAATAAACTCGGACCCCAACTATAGAAGCTAACATTCTATTTTTACCGGAGCTTTCAATTCTTTATAGATTTTGTTTTCAATTTTAAGTATTATCCCAACAGTTTAAGATGTTTTTACAATTATAAATTTAACTGTATTTATTGTGTTGTCAGCTTTACATTCTACGATTTGTTTCCGCAATAATCTCAATTTCGTACTAGAGAATACTATTTACTCTGAATTGAGTGAGACAGCAGTAAAACTTTTAAACCTAGCAGTTACTACCATCATAAGTTACTCATTTATGCTAACCGCACTGAAGGATGAATATTTTAATCGATTTTAAACGATGCATGTGCCGTTGACCTCAAAGATTATCATTTTACTCTGTATCAGTACCAGTAATAAAAACTGTCTTTCATTTTGGAAAGATTTATGTTTAGAGCGTTGAGTAGTCTAAGATACACACCAACTTAACACCAATCTTATTAGGACTTTGCACATCTTTTATATGAGTAAAATAACTCAGAGGACATTTAACAGTACAATGACTCCGATCGTTCGTTAGGTAATAACGGAGATACACGTCAAAAGGAAAATACTATTTATAGCAAACGAGAAAATTTCTCTAACCTAGATCAGTTATTAAATAAATTCTGACGTCTAACAAACCGTTTACGTCATCCGCAGTAAACAATCATGGCAGTTTCACACTGGATCATTGACAATTATCTATATATGAAGCCAGAAGGAATTCCCTCTACGACGCGATTATCCAGTTCTATCACCTACCATGATTGGGGCATGACTGAATTTCATTTTTTGGTGGTCGAAGACTACATTTTTGTATGTAATATTCTTTTATAGGTAATTGGGGACATTTACAAGAATTTCATCATACAGATCAGATTATAATTTTTGTCGTTCAAGTGTTTACAAGGGCCTTAACTCCGGGAGTTACAGAAAATTTTCAAATTTGACGGGCTTTTTCATTTTACTTATTTAAATAATGCATATAAATTTCACAAAGATCGGATGATAACTTTTGGCATTAGAGCATTCACAAGTAAAACAAGGACCATAACTCTTGATGTAATAAACAAAAATTTCTGAAATTCAATAGGATTGTTCTTTTTACTAATCCAAATGACATATATAAATTTCATACAGATCGGTAGGTAACTACTGATGTTACAGCTTTCACACGGTGCAACAAAGTGAAACAAGGGTCATAACGCTAGAAGTTAGTAGAAGTAATTAACAGAAATTATTGAAATTAAAAAGGCTTCTTCATTTCACTAATGTAAACATATACACTCAAAGCCATTATAAAAAACGCAATGCCCAATTCGTGAAATATTTAGGTAAACATTTTCTTGGGCTTTCCTATTTTATGGCACATAGGTGAAACTTGTGATGGGTCTCTTTTCCTGGAGTTCTGGGTTTGAACCCAATATCAGTTCTCGGTAATGAACTTTGTTTGTGCTAACGCAACACTTGTCTTTTTTCACGATTTTAAGCAGTCCCATGTCACACGTTTTGCACATTGTGCATTCCCTGCACTCTCTGGCCCTTTAAATACAGATCAAAATTTCAACATTCATCACTTCGGAAAAATGCCATGCCTTACACAAGAAAACAGGAACAGAGGTATGGGCATGCTGGATCAGGGGGGTTTCACAGGTAGCCGTTGCCAGACACTTTAATAATGTCCACCCATCGACCATTGCTCGCCTCAGACAACGCTTCCACGCCACTGGAAGAGTTGCCGATCCACCCCGACCTGGAGAGCCACCTGTAATAACCGCTGCTCAAGATCGCCATATCCGACTACAGCATCTGCGCAACAGGTTCCAGTCAGCTACTGCTACTGCCAGGGGAACTGTTGGAACACAGCAATGTCAGATCAGCCCCCAAACAGTCCAAAGGCGTCTGGCTGCTCTTGGGTTATGTTGCCGTCGACCATACCATGGTCAATTCCTTTTGCACAGTCATCAACTTGCCAAACAGCAATGGGACGCAAATCAGGGGTATCTGCACAACACACCATGGCGAAATGTCATCTTCTTGGATGTTGCCCTATTTACTGACATCAACACAAACGCTTTGCTGATAACTGTGTGCTGGAAAGGGATAGTTTCGGGGGAGGTGGCATTTTGGTGGTGGTCCAAGGCATTCTCAACGCTCAACATTATATTGGCGCCATCATTCGTCCGGTGTTGCTTCCATTGAGGGCTCAACATGACGTCTGTCGACAGATGGTTTTCCAGCATGACAACACCCAACCCCACACTGCCAGGTTGACAAGAGACTTTCTGAACAATCATCCTGTCCGTGTTATGGATTGGCCAGCTATGTCTCCCGACATGAACCCGATCAAACACCTTTGGGATGAACTTGGGACGAACTCAAGCCATGCCACTACAAACTGTTGCAGAGTTGGCACAGGCACTCCAAAATCATTGGCAAACATACCGCAGCGTGTAGTGAGACATCTGTGCCAGTCCATGCCAAGGCGACTTCAGGCATGTGTAAGAGCTCCGGGTGGAAATACCCGATATTGACTTCAGCTGATCCCTGCTTTGTTTCATGGTTCTGACGTTTCTGTTTTGTGCATTTGTAGTGAATTCTTTCATGAAATTATTCACAGATGCTTGTTATCTCGATTTTGTCAATTGTTATATACTTTGAGTTCATATTTTACATTTTTAGTGTTGAAATGTCACTTATAACCTCAACTTTTGATCTACCGAGGAGGGGGGGACTATTGATATCTCTTTTTAGCATGAACTTATAGAATTTACAAAAAAACTCATTAGTTTTTGGCATTTCCATGGATACCAGACAAAGCAAAGTGTCCCTTGTGGTTCTTGAACTTGCATTTAGCAGTGTTCATGCCATATTCAATGAAAATCCATGGAGTCATACGTGTAACTGAGAAAATTTTTGTTGGTCATTAGCACCCTTTATTATCATGCTTTTGGCCAAGTTTGGAATATAGTTGGTAAACAAAACTGGTATTTTCTTGGTGATTAATATATAATTTATGGCCCCAAATAAAAGAAAATGTCATAATACCAGGTACTCATATCGTATGAACAAAACTTACAGTGCTAGATTTAAAATGTGCATTTTAGAGTACTCAACGCCATTACACTATAAAACATCAGAGTTGCCTAAAAGTATCCATTAACTAAGTCAAATAGCGGTCTGTCTACCAGTCCTTCACGTTTAAGGCGCGCTTTTTCACTTGCGTCTCCCACTTATCTTTGGGGGAGTCATTACATACGCCTGCTAATTAGCTAAAGCGCTCTCCTAAATATTGAGATTCATAAACTACCTTACTTTCAGTTTTTGTTTATTTTTAAAACTGCATATTATGTTTGAGTATATATAGTGACCTCCTCCTTGAGCGATGAGCGTTTCCATGGTAAAACTAGGGCTGGATATGGTCAAAACTGTCAAATATGCGACATTTTTAAATTGGAATTACTTGAGGGCAAATAGCCACAGGGGGGGGGGGTCTTTAGACTTGTGCACTAAGAAGCATGCTGATAAATTGATCAAACTGATGAAAATTCATGGAACATATAAATAAATGACATAATAAAGAGAATATGAGAAAACTAAAGTGTATAAATACAATGTAGAATTACTCTTGCAATATAATTAAGAAAAAAATTTTTTTTTTTTTTTAACAAGTTTTTTTTTCTCTCAATTTTTAAATTTGGAGTTTAGTTAATTGTTTATGCCTTCCGCTCCATTTCGTAAACGAGAAGGACTGGTCTACCGATACTATCGATAGACATGTAGTTGGCAATATTTATAATTCGGCATTATTAAAATTTATTTCAATAAGAAAACCAATGATTTCTTTGAAAAAAAATCAAAGCATTGGTTATACACAATTCATCAAGATACATAGAAAATTGAACAGGAGCAGACACGATTCTAATCAAAACCGTGATATATCGCAATATGTTCACTTTTTATATACTTTTCTGAAGACAGTATTTTTGATGGGTTTTTTTGTTTGTTTCTGTGACGGTTTAATATTGAAAAACTAAAATATCGCCCAGCTCTACATGCAATATGGTATTGCAAGGAGAATAACTCAACTGCAACTCAATTTAGTAAAGGTAATCAATCTAGTTTTGAAATACATGTTTTTGACTGACATTATGAAGGGTAGCTGCCATTCACAATACCATTTTTTATTATTTACAGATGATGACAGTTTCCCCTAGAAAGATCACAGCAGATGTGTTTATATAGGTTTTTAAATTGATCATTCATGTTGGACACTAGTTAATTGTATGTAAATTGTAAAGAAGAACTTCTATAGATTTATAAAAAATTTATAAATGCCTCACAAAATGGAGAGAAGAAAATATCGCTTCATAACTGATTATGAAAAAAAAAAAAAAACCCATCTACATTGTAACTGCTTACAATTTAATATAAATACTGTATGCAGGTTTTAAATTATGTTGCAGATTACTTAATATAAATTCTTAAAAGTTAAACATTTAAATGTAGGCTCTAATGACAATATTGACGAAATTGGTCCACAATTTCATTTTCCACCAATGAAAATAAAATAAACTTATTTCATTTTTCTAGAATGAATATATTTTGAAATGACTGCAAAAACCAACAAATTAAGTCTTTGAAAAGATTAAAGGATATCACCTTCAATTTTACCATGTTACCTGGTCTAATTTATTGGGAAGTTTGTACAGGCAACAAGACATTAACGGAAAAAAATTAATTCAATCAACACTGTATGACTGATGCCAGCTTCGAATGACCTGAGCTTATACTATAATTGCATATAACAATACACATTTTAAAAACAAACTCTGATGCTAACATCAAATGTTAATGGCTTGATTATTTGACGAATCCAATTGTCATTAAATTTTTAATTATATCCATTTTATGAATATGGCCCGATATTTTATATAGGCACTTATTTTTTTTAGTTTCTTTGAATCTTCAATGGCCATGTATCTGTACTTGTACCTTGTCATAAATGTCACATTGATACAACTGCCTGCATCCATTATCTGACTATTTAATTAAGAATTCTAACCATTTTTTTTTTCAAAATTTGCAGCAGTGTTCGTTCAGATCTTACTTATAAGAATAAATCCATATAAAAATTCAGAATCTTTTAAAAAAACAAAATACTGTTTCAAACCGATAGGATTTGCACTGGAACATAGTCTTTCTGACATTAATATTTTGAAATTAGCCAATCACAGAATTACATGACAATTTATGTCAGACAGTGGTCTTAGACATTTTTAAAAACTTGTTACATTGTGCATGTAGGTTAACTGTATGAAGACTTAAGAGTAATAGAAATTCTTAATTTATTAAATTGCAAAGCAAAGTCATTTTTATTTTAAATGTACTGGGTATCCTAATGAACCTTAACTGGTTTTCAGTCCATAATCCTATTATTAGGTTATATACATGTATATATCCCTGAAGACCACCGGTACTTAGTTGGAAATCAAGTCTAAATTTACAAAAAGGTATTTACAGTATTCTTTTCAAATAATCACCTAAAGATTATATTAAGCAAAAAAATCTTGGTCATGATTAACAAGTATTTGGTAAAACTATGATAAAAAAACATAACTACGTGTACAGTATATATATACCGGTAGCATAAAGTAAGACCACATTTGCCAACATAAGCAATCGATATTTTCATCCCGAAATGGGATGTTAGTTTTACCTTGAAACCAATACAGTAATTAACAATCCAAGTTAATTTATAGGATTAGCTTTGAAATTATTGCACAAATTATCTTCTACCGGTTTCAGCTTGAAAAGGTTAAACGCTCGGTGTTCTTGTTGAAGAAAGTTGAATAAAATATTCAATCAGAAAATGAAGGACTGATGTTTCTCTTTATCTGGATTCAGTTTACCTAGAAAAAGGAAGCAGTACATACAATAAACATTTCAGATACATGAGAATTACAAAATTCAATATGTGTATAATAGAAAAATACTTCAATCACAGCAGTAACAGTACCTGCCAGGGTCAGTAATTTGCAGCAAAATTCAGGTATCTCATGGTAGTTATGAAAATTGTGAAAACGGAACTGACTGTTAGATTTATCATCTTGCAAATTGGACGCAAAAATTGTAAAATGCGACAAAGAGCAGCATAATTTTTTTTTTTATAAAATTCAAATATTAAGATGACAAAATAACACTAGAAAAAAAGCTCAGTATACTCGACTGAAAAAAAAGAAATCAGGATTAAATTTTAAGGGTATAAACTTCAAATACCGGTAGGCTACATTGTATTGCAGATCCACTTTTGTGCAAATAAATGTATATGAATATATGACAGAAGGCCAATAAAATTTTTTTCATTATTTACCTAAAATAAAACTAAGGGCTAAAAAATGTTATATTGTAATTTAAGATAATATTGAAGATTATGGCCTTGGATATTAGTGGATACAAATTAAATAAAATACTGAGTCTCAACACAATGCATCAATAGAACTACCGGAAAATTTCAGAGAAAGAGACATGGTAGATATCTTTCATTTCTCACACCCACACGTATTAACTGATTGAGAAACAGTTTCGGATTGCTTCTGTATTTGATCATCTCCCTTATGAAAATATGAATGTCATCCTCAGTATCCCCAGTGGTCTCATTACGTTCCACTCCACTAACCCTTGGGTTCATCCATGGGGGAGACACATATTGAAATGATGATTGTGCTATTTTTATCAACCAATCAAAAAGAATCTATAAATAAGAACTGACAAAAACCCAGCTTTCCCATCGAAAATATGTTTTATGACATCTTTTTTTGTGTGCATGCCACTTCTTTTAATTAAAATCTCTTGCAAACTTTCTAATAATCGAGCGAACAAGCCACCATATTGTTGTGAATGTAAACAATGAGGCCAAGACTGGTTTGTAAACTATTTTTTTTAAAATTCTTTTGTAGAATCAGGCTACGACCAAGGGCAAATAATTTGAATACATGAATACCACGATGAACCTAGGGTATAGTGCAGTACACTAGAAATGGACCACTGGGAATACTGAGAATGGAACATTATAGACTTTAAGCATTATACTGGGCTTCGGGGCTTAAAGATTATTTTTTCTTGCTATTGCTGGAGACACTCCATACAATTGACATTGGCATACTACCAGGGCATATGATAAGCGGTATTGCATAGCAGATTACTAAACAAAAATGACGTAAGTGCGGATCAAATATCAATATTTGATTAGCAGAAAGTTATCAAATCTATGGGAATCTGCGAATCAAGTTTCTTGTCCAAAATTAAGTGTGAAAAAAATGTTTAACAAACATGATTTATCATTCCCCTTGAAGCTGGTCGCGAGATCAAAAGCAGTCAAAGATTAGTAGGCCTAAATAATTTTTATAAACATTAAATTTGATAATCCTGTAAATATGCAAGCTCGATAATTATTCACAGAACAATAATTTTTGTCTTTTCCCTTCGTAAAAATTGACCATGTGTTCCCACCTGACACCATATTTGCCATCACACAATATTTTTATCATTTTCCATTCATTGGACAACAAAATATTCCGTAGGCAATATTATACGTAAAATGTATCCATCCGAAACACGCACTGTTTGTTAGCAAAAAAAACAAAACAAAACAGTGGCTGCCAGGCAGGATACGCCCACATTTTGCACTTTGCAAGACAGAACAAACTAAACAAAAAGCGATTTTTCGTACAATCAAACTTTTTTTTTTAATTCAGATAAAAATTGTTACCTCTAGAGTGACCACAAGCTAAAAACATGATTTTTCGTACAATCAAGGGCATAATTCTGGAAGTTACAATCCAGTATGCACAAATTTTGAAAGGAACCACGATCTTTGGGTTATAAACATGTATTTCAAGTATCATCAAAATCGGATCAAAATTATGACCTCTGGAGGATCCACAACCATGATGAACCATATTTTTCACCCTAGAGTGTATTTGCGTATGAGGGGAGGCCATTTTGATCCAATTTTCACGAAATTCGGGGGGGGGGGGGGGGTCATGTCATGTTCCTAAGACAATGTATCTCCCCCCCCCCTCCCGCATGGTCTCTATTGTCATTTTGGCGTATATATATACACATTGAGCTTTATAAACAGAGAAATTCAACACCTCGTTTGACGTCAATTTTTATTATGAATTAATACAATGACATTGTGATTCAATTTCATGGATGCAAAGCATTAATTGTGATATCACATGTCTATATCATTATCTAGTGCTTTGAGTGCCCATCCTGTCGGAAATCTGACGATAAAGTATAAAGCACACGACCGAGAAACCTTTCTCATAAAAAGTGTTGATTTACAAAAAAATTTATGTGGCTGAGCAGGGGGGGGGGGGGCTATGGATCCGCCCCTGTTTATGGGAGGAATCGGGGATTTTCAAAGTGAATTCTGGTGATTGTAAATGAATTCCAGTATTTGTAAATGAATTCCGGTGATATCAGTCTACCCGACTAAACAACTCGACCAAATATAAGAATTCCGAATAAGATAAGAATCAATTTACTATTTAGAATACTAAAATGCGAATGGTAACACATTGTGGTCTAAACTATGCCAAAGGCACCCAATCGTAGCTAAAAACAAGCACATCAGTATATCTCAACGTTTTTAGCTACGTTCCCGTAGCTAGAGCACTACTACATCTAGCATACTACGCATTATTATGTCAATGTCCCACACCCCTGTACTGTACGTCTGTAGGTAGGCTTTGGCGAGTGCTCCAACACGCGGTTCGGCGGTTTGCGCGTCACAACATGAGCAATTTCACCAGAATTTGTAGCAAAGTTAAAATTTAATTTTGTGCAGCTTTTAAACCGTCTCGCTATACTGCGTGACTTCCTTACCAATTCCGATCCACAGTTTCTCATTGTAATTCTGAAGAAGATGTCCACTAAAATGCAACCATACATTTACACCAACCAGCAAGGAAAAGACAAAGCACAAGGCAAGCGGTGAACAATTAGATTCGGGTGCAGGATTTTGTGTAAGCGGTGCAGAATTTCATGGTAAACAGTTTTAACATTATTATAACTGCGGTAGAATTTACATGGTTTATGATCATTTTACAAACATGAATTAACTTTAGTATCAATTCTTCAATTCAGATAATAATAGTAAGTGATACTAACTAATACTTCATCATATATGTTATAAAAAAGGCATTTTGTAATTACTTTGTAATGGCATAAGAGACGCATTCTATGAAACAACCAATCAGAGGTGGGGACGCCGTGGCTCGCGCGGTGACCTTGATTTCCAAATGACATCATATCCTTACAATGGTCATGCGTAGTCATAATTAAATTTTCTTGTAACACGAGGAAGAATTTGCAATATTTTCGATCCACTGTTTAGATATTTTGTCGAAAAAATGCATTTGAAGGTGATTATATAATTTTTTATTTTATGCGATTATTACAGGCTTGGACAATGACTTTTTCAGATTAATAAGAAATAGGCCTACGTCGTGTTGAGTCTGGCTTCCAAAGTAGTAGGCTATTGTATTGATTGAAGTTAAATTTATTAGGGGGACTACTAGGCATGACACTTCCCCTTCACACTGATCTTGCGCTAAAGCACGTATTTAAAGTAGGCTTATACCCACTCCAATACATTTATTTGTCGGTAACTTGTTCTAATAATGGTCTTGTACAAACTCTGTATACCGGTACGTGGTTTTATGGACAACTTTCTGTGTGTTTTCCAAACAAAGGTTTTCTAAAGATAATAATAGACCTCTCAAAATTTTGGCCAGGATCATATAACATGCTTGGTTTATCACTGTCTAGACCCGGTCACACCAAAACTAATGGCATGGTGTTTAGGACGCTGGTCTGGTGGTCTTGGCGCATATAGTTCCTTAGGATTTCCAGAAGTTGTTTCCTAATTAGTCATGCAGGTTTGAGGGCCTGACGAAGACAGCTGTCTAGTCATTTGGATGGGACAAAAAACAGTTGGAATGTGATACAATTACAAGAGTTGTCCACACCACCGTTGTCCAGGCAATATTTCCCTCATAGCACTGCATGATGTATGCCAGTCTTCATTAGCCCAGTCTGTGTCGAAAATTAGGTCGTTAAACCTCATTTCATTTCCCAAAACAAGCCTAACCTAATTATTGTTGCCCTCATCCATCAAGCATTAAATACTTTTTAAAATTAAATAAAATAGCCATTAAAAGCTAGAGCATGAGTTCTGACACTGTGACAGTCAACCCCAACAATTGTGAATGTTCAGTACCTATTGTCTAGTCATGAACAGTGAAAGTTTTTAATAGACATATTTAATCAATAAGCCTTTTTAATTATTAATAATAGTGTTAGTTAGTACATGTATTTACTATTTAGCCATCTGAATCAAAATAATGTACTGCTGGCATGAAAATAAATTGTGCTGGTGGGAGAGAATAGATTATTTCGGGTCAGTATTTATATAGATAGACTTCAATTCTACCAGTATGCAAACATGATATCAGATACACAGTTGAATTTCTGCTCACTAAGTAATAATTCCTTTGAAGACCAAAAGTTATGTGAGCCTGTGAGAATATATCTAATAATTCATGAAAAGTAATTGAATATCAGTACTAGATAAGGGAAAACGAGGAAAATAGAAATAGTCTGTACATTCCCTTGTTATTATGCATTCTATACTTAATAAAAACATGGTAATGTATAGGCTTTTTCTATTTTTCTCGTATCTAGTGACAGTCAATTATTTTTTTGTATTGTCAGATATCCTCCCACAGTCTCCTATAACAACTTTAGGCCTTCAAAGGAATTTGTGCGTGCCGTGTATCTGTTAGCACCCGTCACTTCAGTCAGTTATATACATGTAGAAGGAAAACTCGTGTTTTCCTTTTGCGTTCGTCACTTCCCTTTCTTTAAATCTTCATAATGCCTCTATCGTACATGTAGCAATGATCTCTGCGTTAAAATTATATTTGGAATGTGTTTAACCAGTTTGATGATGACTGTCACCAATACTGTCCTTTAAATGTTAAGATGGGTGTTCAAGTAGCAATGATACTGGACAGTCAACTTCTTAGGCTGTGTCTTGTCAAAACTTTAAGCACTCATAGCTTTGCTCAGAATTAAGTAATTTGACTGAAATTAGTGAAATTGCCAATATACTTGTTTTTATATCTATTTTAAAACTATTATAGCTAAACAGCCAGCACTGTATCTAAATCTTAGGCCATTTTTTTTGTATGGCCTTATGTATAATGCTTCTTTAAGTTCTTGATAAGTGAAATTAAAAATTTATTGCCCAAATCAGTAAATGAACTACACTGTAGCCAGGATGTTGCACTTGGTACATTATGGAGACACTATTTTCAGAAAAACTAAATATTTTTAACTCAATTGTCTTTCTCATATTTTCATTTTTCTAGGTTGTGGCTTGCTGATTCATTTCAAGAGAATTTTCAGTGAAATATTGAAAGAAGGATTTCTGCTTTTGAATTGTGAAAACTATTTTTCAATCAAACCATTTCCAGGTTATGACTCACCAGTGACAACTTTTCTTACAAATAACTTACATTTTACCATTCCCAATCATTTTCAAACAAATCTTGAAAAGAAGGTAAAGAGGTTGAAAGGATTTGTTTTTTATTTTATTGATCTCATAAGCAAAAGCTTAGATTTATAGTACATTACATGTTACATGTATGAAAGTATCTTGGAAAAATAGATCTGAATGAAGATTGAAATAAATTTTTTAAGATAATCTGTTATCAAGGTTATCGATGGTGATGATGATGACATGATTTAACCAATATTTCAAAATAATTTCGTGTTGAGTGAATTATTTATGTGAAAACACATTTTTCCAAGATTTATGAAGTCCCAAGTGAAGTTTTTAGTGTTGTGTTTTCTTTCATGCTGACAAGCTTATACAAGTGATTTTTTTGCCCAAATTTGTTTCATAAAATTTTTGTTAAAAGGGGTATATAGATACATGTATAACATGCCATTTTAAGGTCACATTGGATGAAAATTCCGTGGGTCTTACAGTCTTGACTTGAAATCTTATTATATTTCAATTTTAAAGGGACAATACTTTTATCCTGCTTTTAAAAATGATAATATTTGACCAATTAATCACTAAGTGAATATTAATTTCTAGAGGTTCTCATTATTTAGAAGCACATCAGTCACAAATTATTCTGTCATATTTTTTGTGTTCATATTTTAGGTTATTGTGATAAATCACAATGGATTCTGGATATGGTCGAGGATGGGGCCAGGACAAGCCTGGTTTCAATCCGAATCAATCAAGTAAGTTAAAAACCAAGAAATTTTAATTAGGGTTTCACACTGCGTAGCTTGTGTGAAACACTATTGTTTTTGTTAAAATTATTATTCTTATTATTATTATTCTTCTTTTGTTTTGAGTAGATCTCAGCAACTGATTGTCGGATCGTTACGATTTCTTCGGTTTTATCGGAAAAGTGGGTGTGACTTAGAGGATAAAGCTATTTTGAACGTTCTGCGACAATGCGAAATGTCCGAAATCACCGAAGCTATCGTTTTTAGAAATATTGCAGTAATTTTAACAATAATCATTGGATTTTAACTTTCGATGCATTTTGGCATAGCCGGAGACGGGGCACATAGCTACGCTACTTTTGATTTTTGATTTTCGGCAAATCTTCGCAGATATTAGGCGCTAAATTTAGAAAATTTAAATTTTTACAAAAAACTTTTTTATTTATGAATATTTTTTAGTCGTGTTTTACACAAATATAACGAGTCCTCTGACTTGGGCAAAAATGTGAAAATTTTTTGTCTCGGTAATTTTCCTTGGTCCCCATTGGCTAATTCAGTTTTTCAGTCCTAGATTAATTATTTATTGTTCGATTTGTATAAAACAAAGTTCATATGCCCCGTTGTCTCAATTGTCATTTTTTTTGTTACCAATAGTGTTATCTGTCGGCACCGGAAGTGGCGTAAATTGACAAAAAACTACAATTTTGACAGTTAGGTACCATTTTTCGAAAGCAAATATTATTTTTTTCAAATCTGGTATAACTGAAATTGTGCGCCCTTTAAAGGCGCACAAAATGTTGGGACCATTTTTTTTAATTTCGATTCCGTTTTCGGGCTATTTCGATTAAAAGGTGAAAAAAGGTGTGAAATTAAGCTATTTACAACCCATCCAGCGTTTTCATATTTTAAAATAATACTTCGTAACTTTCATAAACTCGTAGCAATAATCTATACGGAGAGAATGTATGTGAAAATTAATTTGTAATATGCGCAGTTGCCGAGAAATGGGCAATTTTGCATGAGTCACTTTTTACGCTAGTTTGCCTGTAAAAGAGTCAATTATTATTCGATTTTCATAAAAGTGACACCATTTGATGTGTAATGTCAATTTTAACTAGATCAAACCAATTTAACATTTTCAATATCACCGGAAATGACGTAATTTGGGCAAAAATTGTATTTATAGCCTTCGAAACCAGTAATTTATTCAAATGAGTCATATTTGTTTTTTGTTTAAAATTTTGATATTTGATTCAAATCAACTAATACAATGAACCCTTACGATCATATAGATATCACAAAATGGTTTCTAACTTGTTCAGTTGCGGAGAAATAGGCAATTTTCAACAGGTCACTTTTTAAGGTTTTTTTGTCAATAAAAGTGTCAATTATTATTCGATTTTCATGAAATTTTCACTGTGTGATACATAATGCCATTTACGATATCATACAAGTAATTTAAGATTTTCATTATCACCGGAAGTAACGTCATTTTGGCAAAAACTGTATTTTAAGCCTTCAAAACAGATATTTTATTCAAATGAAACAGATTTATAATGTTTTTAAAATTATGATATTTGATTCCAATCAACAAATAGAATGAACTAATTCGATCATACAGATACCTCAAAATGGTTTCTAACTTGTACGGTTGCAGAGAAATAGGCGATTTTCTACAAGTCATTTTTCAAGGTTTTTGGTCTATAAAGGTGGCAATTATTATAGGATTTACATAAAATTTTCACCATGTGATGATGCTATTTCTGATTTCATAAACCAATTTAACATTTTCATTATCACCGGAAGTAATGTAATTTTGACAGGATCACTGACATGTAGCAAATGAATTGATTGCTGGATTTGGTTGTTTCTGCGTCCATTTTATTTCATGTGTGCAATGCTTATGTGGAAACCTGTTTAACGGTTTCATTGGTACCGGAAGTGACATAAGTTCAAGGGTAACGTGGCACCGGTGAAACCCGTCATTACTGCTTCGCAGTTCTAGTTTTATTTTGTTTTTTTACGTTGGCGCTCTTGGATAAAGTGTTCATTTGATTGATTGACTTAAAACTCATACTCAATGTCTTTGTTCCTGAGATGAAGACACCCACTTAGGCCGTGGACTGGGTAAGATTATATGGCTTAGATCTTTACTCTCGTTAAAATGCCTAGGGCTGCCTTTCCAATTTTTTTAAATTGATAGATACAGCAAAAATGATGTTAAATAACACACTTCACATGTCGCCGAAAGTGTGTATAATATTTATAACATTATCTGAATAAGAATTATATTTTTTCTCGACAAAACACAAAGTTGCTACGCGGTCAAGTAATTGACTAATGAAACTCGTTGGATTGCGGCACATGATCATTGTTTATTAACAGTGCTGTGATGGGTTTAACTCAAATAATTGTTTTACGGCTGGTTATTGCCATTGTAGGCTTTGTGGAAACGGTGTTTCAACAAGGATTGGTAAGAAATGGATTCAGGATAATCAGGAACACACGAAAGCGTAGAAACGTTGAATTTGAGATTCAAATTACGTCATTACTCACCGATAAGATAATCATGTAGTTATCAATAATTTTTGGGGAAGGCCTCGGGACATCAGGCTCAGCTATAAAGCATTATTTATTTTACTTTTTTTTTTACTCGGCTGAAAATTCATTCATATTTCAACAGCTTTTTACTAGCTTGAATCTGAATATTGGAGAAAACATAACTTTTTTTTTTACTCAGCTGAAAATTTATTCATATTTCTACAGCTTTTTACTAGCTTGAATCTGAATATTGGAGAAAACGTAACTGAGTAATTTCTTGATGCTACACTGAATTTGACTAAACTCTTAGCTGAGTAAAACAAATTTTTGTGGCTGGCCCATGGGCTAGGAGAGGGGTCAAATGAACCTGTGAGTCCCCAAACTATCATTTCCATCAGGCCATAATTACATTAGGCCACTATACTAAAATTTAATTTCTCATCATTTTGCAAAATAAGTTGGGGCATGGCAAACCAACATAAATAGATTGAAAATTGTTCAATCAACCACTGGTTATTGCTTGTGTCTAAGATTGATAGGCAAAACAATGCTAATGGTAGGTGAAAAGAGTATAGCAATTGACATCCCCTAAAGGCAATGCTTAAAATAAGACCAAAAATATTGTTAATTTTGTATTTATTAACAAGCCCAACAGGGAGATAATTCTAGAAAAACAGTCACAACATTAACAATGCATAATAGTATGTTTGAAAGATTTCAAATTATTTGCGACAGCAAAATCCAATTAAGAACTCGTTTGTTCAAAAAAAATCTTATGTAGACTAAAATTGAATAGACATATATATAGTTTATTGCTAAGCACTTTGAGCATGCTTATGGGTGATTTGGCACTCAAGAATTGGACATTATTATTATCGGATGTTCATATTGTTCAATCAGGAAGCTTTTGATCAATATTCATCAATATCATCATCTGATAAATCGTAACCATAGTATTATTACAGTCCCTACATCCACAAAGATTGGTGCATGAGAGATTTTCAAGTCTACATGAACATCTTTTAGAGTCACTGGATCAAGTGTCATCCATGTCATGATCGGCTATATTCCACCCATTCCCTGACGGGAGTGGAGAGGAAATAAGATTTTAAATAGAATGCCCATGGATTGAAGCCTGATAGTTACATCTTTTAACATGTAAAACCAAGGTATCTTTAGTTTGGAGGTGGGGCTTTGTTCAGAAGAAATTTTTAAGCAGAATAATTTATATCTGGCACTGTCCACACTATTACCTTTCTGTGTATACAAATCACAAACAAATTCTTCTCAAGTGAAATGAGGGTGTCATCGAGGATGAAACTACTTCTAAGTTTAACCTTTTCCTTGGAAGCAGCTTTTTGAATCACAGCCAGTGAATGTATGAAGTCCAACGAAGGCTAGTGAAATTTCACGCCCAAGTTACTGAAACACTTTAAGTAAGGTTATTATTCGACTTTTATTTTTTGTCCCGGTGTAAAATAATAAATTTTCCACAATGTCCACAATAACGGAAAGTAAAATGATTATCACATATGTATTAGGTACCTTTTGATAACTATATCTGTAAACATCGCCATACATCTGAGTAGAAGCATGGTTAGCATGAAGATTAAGTTTCTGCCTCTTCATGATCAGAGTATAATTCCGGAACATTCTCTATATTTGGGACATCATCAGCACTAAATTTGGTACATAAATTTCCATGGGTAACATACAGATTAATTATACCTGGTGTAGAAGACTCTATAGTTTGCCAACGGCTTCCTTGTTTGTTCCATTACTAAGAAAACATGCCCACTGCTGTGGAATGTTTTGTTCCTTGCTGTAAATTATTTTGACACACCTTTATTAGCTCGTCTAATGCACTTGGCATTCTTGATGCTTATAACTGGGTACTGATCCGCAAAGAAATCAACTCAAGTTACATTAACATTGTGGTAGAAGATGTGACGAGTTGAGGGGCAATTTTTGTTGTCGGGTGTTGCTAGTGCGGCCCTTTTCAAGGCTTTTTTCCAAACTTTAGACCCATTGCTTATCACTGGCGGGAGATAGCACTTGGAGTGGTAACCATAGATCTTTTGAGCCTACATAAAGTTTATATTTTGAAAAAATAAATGCATGACCTAATTTTCAGCATTTACATGTAACAGTATCTGGTCAGTATGAAATACATGTAGATCTCCTGCAATATCAAAATAAGTTTAGATATTGCGTCAAACATTTATCTTCGACATGCCATTTTTATTATCCCCCGCCTTTCGAAGAAAGCAGGGAACTATTAAAATGGGTCCGTCCGTCTGTCCGTCACACTTTTTGGGACACAATAACTTTCCTTGTAATTGAGCTAGAATGTTCAAACTTGGTGTGGGTGTTTATTAGGTCAATACCTTGATGGAGTTCATAGATGAGCATTTTCCGCTTAGGGTAAGTGGAGATAAGCAATTTGATTGGTTGATGCTTTGGGACACGATAACTTTAGTTCTAATTAAGTGAGTGATGAAACATGGTGTATAGTTTCATTACATCAATACCTTGACTAAGTTCGATAATAAGCATTTTCTGCTCAGGGTAAGCCAGAGCGATAAGCAATTTGATTGGCCAAGATTTTGGAACACAATAACTCTCCTTTTAATTGAGCTAGAATGTTCAAACTTGGTGTAGGTGTTTATTGGGTCAATGCCTTGATGGAGTTCGAAGAGCTAAGCAATTTGATTGGTTGATGCTTTGGGACATGATAACTAATTAAGTGAGAGTGAGGACACTTGGTGTATAGCTTTATTACATCAATACCTTGACTAAGTTTGATAATGAACATTTTCTGCTGATGGTAAGCAGAGTGATGAGCAATTTGATTGGTCGAGACTTTGGAACACAATAACTCTCCTAATTGAGGTAGAATGTTCAAATTTTTGTGTAGGCATTCATTAGGTGAATCCCTTGATGGAGTTCGATGATGAACATTGTCTGCTTACGGTAAGCAGAGATAAGCAATCTGATTCATTGATGCTTTAGGGGCACGATAACAGCGATGAAACTCTGAATATAGATTCATTATATCATTACCTTGACTAAGTTTGATTGTGCGAATTTTTTGCCTGGGCTAAGGAACATAAAAACTCGGCTTTTAATTGAGGTACATGTAGAATGTTTAAACCTGATGTAGATGTTGTGAATGTCTTGACTGATTTCAATGATTAACATTTCAAGCTAAAGCTAAGCAGAGATAATCAATTTCATTGGTCGATGCTTTGGGACAAGATAATCTTGATTCTATCTGATAGAGAGTGATGAAACTTAGTGTGTAGTTTGATTGCTCGATACTTTTGAAAAAAATAAATGTGCGATTAATTAACGTGTCATCTATTTATTTTGGGATTTCGGCGTGGGACATCAGCCTCACTGTTGGCTTGTTTTATTTATTTATTACCATTTGGAGACGGATTAATATAAGCTTTATAATTTGTTTCCAAATCCATATAATTATTATTTATTGTATATTTCGTGCAATTATATATTATCTGAGTGAATTGGTCATAGACGTAAAGAATAAAATCTGTTGTCATTTCAGTGTAAGAGAGAGAAAAGAAAATTATTGTAGGCCTACTTTACCTTCAAACATATCATGATAAAGATATAGCAATTTTCTGCGTAGTTCGCAACAGAATTTCAACTGGTATCACTAAACTGAACTAATTTGCATGGATTCTTGATTGCTTGGTGGATAAAGCACTTCATAATTCGTAATGACGATTTTTCTGATTGCTGATTGGCTGAAATCCCGGGCCCAGAACGTTTAGTTGCAAATTCTCCCAACCTTTTCACCGGCACATTAATATGGCGGTGAAAAGGACCAAATCCGCGAAAACAAAATAATTAAAAGTTATAAAAATATTTTAAAGCAATCACTCATGGAAAGCTAGGTGTGAAGAACTGTCATTATTCATTTTATGTATTTTTAAATTAGTCTGCGCAGAAAAATTACCAGCACTAAGCCATTCCACGAGTGTAAACAATAACTCGCTCCAGTCCACGGCCTAACTGGTTTTAAACGATTCCGATAATTATTCATAGTTTGTATTTAAAATTCTTGTGAATTGTCAAGTGGCTATAGGTGTACATGTAGTTACCATCAGATTGTCAACCAGCGATGAAAAAACTGATATTCATATCTAGCAGCTAAGTTATAATCTGATTTAAAGACAATGTTTTGTTTATGTTATTGCTAGGCATAAAAAAAATTATTCAAAATGTCTTGTAAATGCTCCTGTTGCTTTCAAAAGATTAAAAATGTAACAAACTGTATGAACTGCTAGGAAGACCTTCACCCATCTACTGCCTTGATACTATTGTACATGTTTGCCTGGTACGTGTATATGAGTGGGTTGGTTTCTCCACATCTGTATTTACCCAAGAGTTTTGGAGGGACATTACTATGACATGTTAAATTAAAAAATTTAATGCCTAAGATTTGTTTTTTTGATAGACAACACACATGTATTTTTACAGATTTCTTTACACTATTCATATTTTTGGATCAAAGCCAACTGGACTTGCTTCAGACAATAAATACTGTTCTTTTACTTTTGTTTCCAGATAAAAGACCACTAGAAGATGACTCTTCCCAACAGAAAGGAAAGAAAAATCCATTAGAAGTGATGCAAATGGTCATCAAGAACTCTCAGAAGGACATTCAAAATAAAACATCTTCAGGTCTACCACAAGATCCAGAAGCACTGAAGCAAATATTTACAAGACAACAAATGTTGTTGGAACTGCAGACAGAGATGATGGCTCAGATGTCAAATCTAGATTCCAATGAGCCGCCCCCACCACAGCAAGCTCAACCAAAGCCCAAAAAAGAACCCCAGAGTTTACTGGATTTGGCTAATTTAACATCTTATCCCATGCCTGGTCGTAATAAAATGCCCAATGAAGATTTTTATTACGGTTTTAATGTGCCTGGTAAGATGAAAGTGGAGCAAGGGGGAAGAGAAAGCAGAAGATTTAATGAAATGGGCCGAAATAATGATCAACCAAGGAGAAATCGCAGCAGAGGACCTGATGACTTTGATCCACCCTTAGGCAGGGTTGATCCCGGCGGAATGGATAGATTTGGTCCACCAGGAGGATTGGATAGATATGGTCCACCAGGAGGAAGAGGAGGATTTGGGCCTGATGATTTTGGCCCACCAGTAGGAAGAAGAGGATTTGGACCAGAGGATTTTGGCCCAGACGATTTTGGCCCACCAAGTCGAATGGGTGCCTTTGGTGCCTTTGATGATTTTGGACCAGGGGATGATTTTGGACCAAGGGATGATTTTGGTAGAGGTGGTTACGGCCCACGAGGAGGGAGGGGTTTTGGTCCACCTGGAGATATAGATGATTTTGGACCTATGGAGGGAAGAGGTGGAAACGACTCAAGACGTGGGAAACGGGGGAGACCTGGATTGTTTGCAAATTCCAATCCTCTGAATAGACCATATAATACCTTGCCTGTAGAGGATAGGCTAACAATAGTGAAGAGAGATATCTTCAAGTATGACAACTTTCCCCAAGCTTTAAGGGTTCTTGAAACGGCGAGACACAACTGTCCAGAGGCCCACATCCGAACCACTTACGAAGATGAACCCCTTGATGGTGACCGATTCCAGGGTTTTTTAATTATGAATGGGGTATTAGTAGGTGTTGAAGAAGGAAGAAATAAGATTGATGCCAAAGTAAATTGTTATTGTGCTGCTCTCTACATTTTACTTACCAAACCACTATCCTATATTTTTGCACATTCCGTTGAGTTATATGACAAGAGAAGTCATCCAACTAAAATGAAGAGAGAAGTCAGTCTGTGTGATGAACGTTTTAATTGGATAGTGGAATCTCTCTGTCATGGGGTTAGAGCTTTACCAACTGATTGTATGAACAGAGACTTTGAAGAGGTCATCTATTCACTTGAACTTTCGATAACCCACATCTACAAGCAAACAAAGACTGGCTATTCGTGTGAATTTTATGTAGATGACCTTTTTGTATCTCAAGCAGAAGCAATTAGAAAAGCTGATTCATATGCTGAAGCAGTAAAAGTAGCAAGAATGAAGTTGAGTCAAAAGCCGAGTAAAATCAGAGCACGTTTTAATCATCTAAACAGATTGAGACATATTGACTTCCATGCGGAGGATATCATTGACATACGATTTGCTGAAAACAAACACAGGGTTTACAGCAACCTCGAAGAACTGAAGAAGAGAGGGGTTAGTTCAAAAAGCTTAAGAGAAGTAAAAGACAGGATTGTAGTTATTGTTCCAACTGGAGCCACTTCAACTTGGAATTTATTAGAAGAAACAGCTTTGGCAAATAAAGTCTTAATGGAGTTTGTTGAAAATGGTCTTGGTAATGTAAAGAGGTATGATTTATCATCAAATAATTAGAACTGTACTTTATACCTTTCTACATTAGTTGCATTTACTATTTATGCTATTCAATTTATGATTTACTAGAAGAATGCCCGGCTTCGCTCGGGGGTCATAACCGCGAAACCGGAAGTGGTAGACTAACGCCACCTGGCCTATGTTACTCCCCGGTCCGAGCTACCCCTATACCCCAAATTTCAGACTCGCGGGCAGACCTAGTGTAGCCGCCAACCCCGAACAGACAGACAGACAAACAACAGTCACAAATATTAGTATACATGTAGATCACAAAATTAGAGCTATACTTTATAACTTTCTACTTAGATAAAACTATTCATGCTAGAATGAACTTTAAACTCCTTAGAGTAAATTATTGATCAATGTAATGGATATTATAGTTTTTATTTTAGATGTGTCATATATATGCAAGGGCAGATTGTTGCCGATTCTTACAGCAGTAAGCAGGAGTCTGGTAAATCGGTAGCAATGCGTAGAGCTAAACAAGTCCTCATGAAAAGACACAGAATTGGTGTTGAGGTATGATTTCTAATTTTAAACGTCGATATCATTCAATGTTACATTTTTATACGCCCACACTTTCATGTGGACGTATATTGTAGTCGCGTAGGTCCGTCCACAATTGTTTGTGGACACTCTACAGGTCACAATTTTTACCCGATTTCAACGAAACTTGAAATATAGGTTTATCTCCCTAAGATCTCGGTTCCTTTCGATATCGGCATGTATTGGACCGTAACTTCATGGATTATGGCCCCTGATTGTAGCTTGTGGACCCTTTAGAGGTCACTATTTTTATCTGATTTTGTTAAAATTTGATATATAAGTTTATAACCCAAAGATCTTGGTTCCTTTCGATATACGCGCATATCAGAGTGTAACTTCCTTAGTTATGTCCCCTGATTGTACGAATCGCCATTTTAGCTTGTGGTTCCTCTAAGGTCACAATTATTAATTGATTTAAAAAATTGTTCGAATATATCATCATTACACCATAATGTTTGTTGAGATCGATTTTTGTGAAAATCTGACCAAAACTGCCGGACAAAATGGCCGTCCCTTGAACGCAAACAGTGTGAAAATATGGTATATCAAGGTGTGGACCCTCTAGAGCTCACAATTTTGATCCGATTTTGATGATACTTAGATACATGTTTATAACCCAAAGATCTTGGTTCTTTTCGATATTTGCGCATATTGGATCGTAACTTTCTGAATTATGGCCCTTGACTGTACGAAAAATCGCATTTTTAGTTTGTGTTCCCTCTAGAGGTCACAATTATATCCGATTTAAAAAAACGTGTGAATATATCACCGTTGCACCCTAACGATGGTCGAGATTAAATTTCGTGAAAATCGGCCCAAAACTGCCAGACAAAATGGCCGCCCCTCGTACACTAATAGTGTAAAAATATGGTATATCAAGGTTGTGGACTCTCTAGGGGTCACAATTTTCACCCAATTTTGATGAACCTTGAAAGTTGAAATGCATGTTTATAACCCAAAGATCTTGGTTCCTTTCGATATTCGCACATATCAGATCATAACTTCCTGAATGTTGGTTGGGTTCGAATTTTGTGAAAATCGGACGAAAACTGCCAGAAAAAATGGCCGTCCACCTACACAAATAGTGTAAACATCTGGTATAACAAGGTTGTGGAACCCTCTAGAGGTCACAATTTTGATGAAACTTGAAATGCATGTTTATAACCCAAAGATCTTGGTTGCTTTCGTTATTCGCGTATATCAGATCGTAACTTTCTTAATTATGTCCCCTGATTGTACAAATTGTTATTTTAGCTTGTGGTCCCTCTAGAAGTCACAATTATTAACTGATTTAAAAAAACTGTGCGAATATATATCACCATTACACCGTAATGTTGATTGAGAACGATTTTTGTGAAAATCGGACGAAAACTGACAGACAAAATGGCCGCCCCTCTTGTAGCACCATGGTCGTTCGTCAGACGTGGAGAACGGTCAGCGCTAAACCCGATCACAACATCCGACGTATAACCCATGCATCGTTTCTTACTACATATTCTGGAACAGCCCCTGATCGTCTAGTATTGTCTCTGGCCGCATTTGTTTCTTATTTTCTTCTTTTAGGACTCAACTTTAAATATTGTGTATTTATTCTGCCATTCAGTTTATGGTTACACACAGTAACAACAATGCCACATTTCGTTTCTATATTTTATATTAAGCACTGCTACATATAGGTTACAAAGTTACAAGCATAATAAAGCCATTCTCTCCAACCCGTTCTCATGCAGACTCGGTGAGTCTGCTGATGGAGATTCCTACACCTTCTCCCTACGAGAACTACATGTCTGTCTAACCTAGGGCGCACATTCTATTAATTATATATTCCCAGATTCACACCCATTAATTATTCTATTGGCTAATTATGATGTAATTAATCATGTGATTGGTCACTCTTCCCAAATATGAAATGGTAACTTTCCTACCACGTGTATTTCAAACAATGACAATTTATCCTTGAAAAATGCAAATGACCATCATGTTTACTAAACTCTAACTGCGTTAACGTATCTAAACAACCAGCATACTTTCTCTATTTTTGGTTATGAAGTTAGAATCAACAATATGAAAGATAACGCTATTGTTCCAGCCATCATATTTCTCTATTCTTTGTCTTTAGACCTCATGTCTGGTTATTGTCACACTATTCCTAAACAATTTTAATTTGCGTTTCAGAATTAACTTATATACCATAGCTAATATTTTGACAATGGAGAATAATTAATCAAAACCCTAATATTATTTTACATAGATGTTTCAAAGCACAAATTCTTTCCCTCCATATTACTACACTCTTTGCAAATAGTGTAAACATCTGGTACAGTAGAATCAGTATGAGCAGCCACTCCTATTCAGCGACATCTCCTTGTTAGCGGTCACAATAAATTCCCCCTGTAAAAATTCTATTGTTTCATCTCTTATTCAACGGTCACTCCTCTAACGCAGCCAGCGGTCACTATTTTACTAATAAATTCAACAAAACCGCCCATTCAACGGCCATTGTTGAATGATACCATCTTGTCGTTCTTTCTTTGTAACACCCCAGCAAATCCCGTGAGTAGTAGTTAATTAACTGGACCACCACTGATTAGGTAAAAAGAAATGTAAAAATAACAATCAACCCTGGATTATCTGTTAATTAATCTTTTGTTTTATTAAACGACGATACTGATCATTGTTTTCACGCGTAACGACACATTATTTGATACTGATTGAATAAAATAAAAGTACCGAGTTTTGTCACGATCATCTAGTATCTCTTTTCCATTGCCACTTTGTTGTTAAACAGGCGTTTTAGCGCCTCCTGTAATATTACATATAGAGTTACACCCCCTGTAAATAGGTGATAACATCAACGATGGTTTTTTGTTCATGTCCTTTTTTGATAAAATAAAATTAATTCATCGATTTTCTTCACAAAAATTGATAAATATTATCGAATGCATCACCAATGGTAGACATTGAGTAAAGAATTTTCGTTCGGCGCAAGATTCAGCGACACTCAAATTTACCGATGCAAGTATTGATGTTCGCTTCCAATGCACCTAAGCGTAATATTTAATTTATGTCAGCACAAAAAGCACAAGATTTTATTAAGAGGCCACTCCCGTTAAGCAGTCAGTCGTTAAAATTCCCTTGGGTGGCTGCTTAATGCAGATTCTACTGTATATCAATATCCAGAGGTCACAATATTGATCTGATTTTAATGAAACTTGAAATGCGTGTTTATAACCGAAAGATCTTGGTTCCTGTCGATATTTGCGCATATCTGATTGTACCTTTCTGAATTATGGCCCTTGATGTTAAGAAAATTTTGCTTTTTGTTTAGCTTGTTCTCTATTCATCTCTTGCAAAATGTGGGCGAATCCTGCCTGGCAGCCGCTGGTTAAACAGTTATAGCAAGAACATACAGTCCTTTATTATACGTCCACATTCATAATGTGAACGTATTATGCCGTCGCCCCTGTCTGTGTGTGTGTGTGTGTGTGTGTGTGTGTGTCTGTGGTTCGCCTACAGGGCGCAATTCTTCATGGATTTTCTTCAAACTTGGTATACTTATTCCTTATACCCCAAGGAAGATCCCTATTGTTTTTGGTGCATGCCCGACCCCCCGGGGCAGAGCCACGCCCATTTCTAGTATTTGTTTGTTTGTCGTCTACAGGCCACATTTCTTAACTAATAATCTTGAAACTTTGCATACACATTCTTTGTACCCTAAGGAACATCCCTATCGTTTGGGGTGCATGCCCAACCCCCAGGGGCAGAGCCACGCCCATTTTCTTTTCGTGTGTCTTTGTGTCGCCTACAGGGCGCAATTCTTACTGGATTTTCTTCAAACTTGGTATACTTATTCCTTATACCCCAAGGAAGATCCCTATTGTTTTTGGTGCATGCCCGACCCCCAGGGGCAGAGCCACGCCCATTTCTAGTATTTGTTTGTTTGTCGTCTACAGGCCACATTTCTTAACTTATAATCTTGCATACACATTCTTTGTACCCTAAGGAACATCCCTATCGTTTGGGGTACATGCCCAACCCCCAGGGGCAGAGCCACGCCCATTTTCTTTTTGTGTGTCTGTGTGTCGCCTACAGGCCACAATTCTTAAGTTATCATCTTGAATCTTTACATACTTATTCCTTATACCCTAAGGATGATCCCTATAGTTTTTGGTGCATGCCCGATCCCCAGGGGCAGAGCCACGCCCATTTCTTGTATTTGTTTGTTTGTCGTCTACAGGCCGCATTTCTTAACGCATCATATTGAAACTTTGCATACTTATTCTTTGTACCCTAAGGAACACCCCTATCGTTTGGGGTGCATGCCCAACCCCCAGGGGCAGAGCCAAGCCCATTTTCTTTTTGTGTGTCTGTCGCCTACAGGCCACAATTCTTAATCGATCGTCTTGAAAAAATTTCATATGAATTCCTTATACCCTAAGGATGATCCTATTGTTTTTGGTGCATGCCCGACCCCCAGTGGCAGAGCCACGCCCATTTCTTGTATTCATTGTTTGTTATCTACAGACCACATTTCATAACGTATCACCTTGAAACTTTGCATGCATACTCCTTCTATCCTAAGGAACATCCCTATTGTTTGTGGTGAATGCCCAGGGACAGAGCCACACCCATTTTCTTTTTGTGTGTCTGTATGTCACTTACAGCCTGCAATGCTTAATCGATCATCTTGAAAACTTTTTTATACTTATACGTTATACCCTAAGGCTGACCTCTATTTTTTTGGTGATTGCCCAACCCCCAGGGGCAGAGCCACACCCATTTTTTCTTTGTGTCTCTGTGAGTTGCCTACAGGCCACGATTCTTAATGGATTTCTTTGAACTTGGGATATGTTTTCCTTATAGCCTAAGGACGACAACTGCATGTCACGACCCCCAGGGGCAGAGCCATGCCCAATTTTTATGTTTATCGTTTACAGGCCCAAATTCTGGATGGATCAACTTGGAATTTGGCATATGTATTCCTTATAGCCTAAGGGCATCAACTATTGATTTTGGTGAATGCCCCAATGCCCAGGGGCAGAGCAACGCCCAATTTTCCCTTTAACGCCCAAAGGCCACAATTCTGAATGGATTATCTTGGAACTTGGAGTACTTATTCCTTATACCCTAAGGACGGCAACTATTTATATTGTTTCCATATCCAACCCCCATGGGCAGAGCCATGCCCAATTTTTGTATTTATCGTCTACAGGCTGCAATTCTGAATGGATCATCTTGGAACTTTGCATATTTATTCCTTATACCATAAAGACAGCAACTATTTATTTTGATACTTGCCCCGACCTCTTGGGGCAGTGTCACACCCACTTTATTGTTAGTATTTTGTCTGTAAATTTGGGGTGGCTGGGTGGTTAAGACGCTGGCTCGCTAGCCTGGAGGTCGGGTGTTCGATCCCTGCATTGGCCGAGAAAGTTCATCTGGATTTTCCGACGTGGTTTCCCCTTGTCAGTGGTGCAGAACGGAGGGCCTGACAAGGACAGCTGTCCAGTCCTTCGGATGAGACGAAAAACCGAGGTCCCGTGTATACATTAGAATGCACGTAAAAGATCCCTTGGCAGTTGGAATTCGATATAAGAGTAGGCGATAGTGCCGCTGCCCGGGCAAAATTTCCCTCATAGCACACTGTATGGCGTATGCCCGTCTTCATTAGCCCAGTATAGGAGCAGAACAGTAGGACGTTAAACCCCATTTCATTTCATTTCTGTAAATTTGGCAAAACAAACCAGACGCCTAGCCTTCTTTGCCTCTGATCATATTACAGCCATTTCATATTTCATTCTCTTCATTTTAAAAAGTACCATATCAATCAAAGCTGGAATGTGGACGTATATTGCAGCGTTAGCGATGCTCTTGTCTAAATCTTACATAATGCATCTTTAATAGATGATATTAGATCTAGCACGGACAACATTTTGTTATACTCGCCTGACAAGTTCCCATGTGATTTAAACTCCATATTATTATATGGTTTTTACTGGTAATATCTTCAAGTAGACAAGTACACATAGTAAATATTACATCTTGCCAGTAGTGGTATAGCATTTATTTTAGGCTAACTGGGTGGGTTTTTTTTTTTTTTTTACTGAGGTGTTACATTCATTTCAGTTAAGGGCAAACATGGATTGATTTATAGTTAACAATATGATTTGTAATCTATTGGGGAGAAATAGAAGATCAAACCGACTGTAAGGTTCTTCAACCGATCTTGTGTGTGGTGTATCTTAAAATTACATTATTCAAGAGCCAAATCTGCCAATTGCAGGTCTTTCTTTAGGCCTGAAATGTTATATAAACTATTAATTAGATATTTATTTACAAAACAAGACCATAATCAACTCTCGATTGCATCATCGGATACTCAAGATTTTAACTAGACTAGAACGGTTCGCAATTTAAAAATTTAATTTAAAAATGGGAAAGCAAGGCTAAGTCTCAAATATACCAGTGCCCTGCTTACCACTATGCACACATCTTGTCATAACTACAAACGGTGATAACTTGGCTTAGAATGAAGTAATTTGAATGAAATTTTCATTTTACATTATCTATTTTTGAGCTACATGTGTATTAAAGCAAGAATGGTCAACTTTTTATCTTAATCTTATAAATGTATCTCTAAATTTTTTGAGTTTTTATTTATAGGTAGCACCAATTGACTATGAAAAAGTCGCTTTGACATTTGAACAGATTGTGGAGAAAGCTGGTGAATTATCTATGACAGAGCCCAAATATCTTGATGGAAAAGAAGCACCAAATTATGGTAAACCCGAGAAAAATGAACCTGAACCAAATGAACTATCCCCCTGGGTAGATGCTTTTCTACGTATTGTCATCAACAGCTACAAGGAAACAGAGGGACTTGATGATATGATTGTATCCCACCTGCCGTCTTATCACTCACAGCTTCTTCTAGACCAAGCTGATGAGCTGGGAGTTGTAGTAACAACTTCACGGCATAAAAATGTAGCCTACATTATCATACAGAAATATATTACCAAAGACCTGAGCGCACAGAAATTCCTTGATTATGTTTCAGCCTTTAATGACAAAACCTCGGGGCGATACAAAGTGGTAGAATTTGAACTGGATTTACACAAAAAGGACAATTAAGTGAATTGAAAATCGTCACTGATTAAGACTGTATATAAGCTTATAGTGTAGCAAAATAATTCATCGATACCTTTAAAAAAAATATAGTTAGTATGAACTATTTTAACAGTTTCTTTCAGTACATGTAATCTGTTCATTGCTTGATATTGTGTTGATGGGGATGACAGCTGTTTAAAATAGAAACCTATTTCATTTTAGTTTGTACATAAACTCCCATCATGTGTTAAGAAAATATATTCATCATTCATCACCATAAATACACGAAGTAGAGATATTGATGTTTCAAACACAATCTGGATAATGCTGTCATGGTATAACAACAAATTCAAGTACATAATTTGGGGTTTTGTATTGAGATTGTGGAAAAGTATGACAATGAACCCCATTTCATGTGGAAATATAAGAACTGATTTTTCATCTTTTATTAATAATACTGAATATTGTTTTACACAATAAAAATTAATTTTGCTTTAGTTTTGGTTAAAATCACTGAAAATAAGTAATTTTAAAATATCATTTTATTGTTAAATCAAAAATGTTTGTCATTGAGAAATTGATGTAATTTGAAAAATTTGCCAAATAAAACATCTTCATTGATATTTTATATTTTTATCATAAAATAATTCAGTTACATGAATTTCTAAAAGCCAGCGGCTTTAGTCAGATTAATATAGCACAAGTTGAACAAGACAATAAGTATACAACTCATGTAGTGTTCTACCTAAAACTTGCACCAGAAACCTTTTCCTGTGGCTGTCTGAAAGATTAGATGGTTCATTCCTCACCATTTGCATTACGGTCATGATGTGAAGAGTTTGGGTCCATAATGGACCAATACTCATTTAAATTAAACACTGGGGGGAATCAAGCCGATTCACAGCTAGAGGATTACCAAAGTCTTCTGGATCAAGACTAGTAATTGTTTCCCCTTATTTCATGGCGAGTTGTAGACAATTTTCCCCATAATTTTTTTCTCCTCTCTTCCAGCATTATTTTAGTTGACTTCTTGGTCAAGAATTGGAGATAAGTGATTACATTTGCAATTTCATGGCAGTTTTGGGTAATACTGATATTACAGCAGAGGGATAGGGTGTGTAAAGTGTCTCTGCAGAGCATCATTGTGTCGGAAGTGAGATTTTGACCCCAGTCAACAGCAAAAAATCTAAACGCCAACCTTCTACAAAATTATGAGATTGCCAAATGTGGTCCCCATTGTGCCTATAAAGATTGGAACCAACGGAATGTTGAGCAAAACCCTACAGCCTGTGATGTTACAGCCATTTAATATTGAAGTCAATGGATAAATAATTGCTAGTTCGAGTCCTGTAAAGACTGCTTTCAACACGTGACAACACATCACACGGCGTCAATCTTTGACTGAATGGCACATGCATTGTTGTCCCCCGCCTTTCGAAGAAAGTCGTCACACTTTTTGGGACACAATAACTCTCCAAATTGAGCTAGAATGTTCAAACTTGGCGTGGGTGTTTATTAGGTCAATGCCTTGATAACTTTAGTTCTAATTAAGTGAGAGTGATGAAACTTGGTGTAGATTTTAATTACATCAATACCATGACTAAGTTCGATAATGATCATTTTCTGCTCGGGGTAAGCAGTTCTAATTAAGTGAGAGTGATGAAACCTGGCGCATTTTCTGCTCAGGGTAAGCGGGGCGATAAGCAATTTGATTGGTCGATAATTTGGAACACAATAACCCTCCTTCTAATTGAGGTAGAATGTTCAAACTTGGTGTAGGCGTTCATTAGGTGAATGCCTTGATGGAGTTCGATTGTAAACATTGTCTGCTTACGATAAGCAATCTGATCGGTTGATGCTTTGGGGCACGATAACTTTGGTTTTAATTAAGTAAGAGTTATGAAACTCCGAGTGTAGATTCATTATATCACTACCTTAACTAAGTTCGATGATGAGAATTTTCTGCTCGGGTTAAGGAGCGATAAGCAATTTTATTGGTCAAGTCTTTGGAACATAACGTTAAACTTGATGTAGATGTTCATTAGACAAATGTCTTGACTGAGTTCAATGATTAAGATTTCGAGCTAAAGCTAAGCAGAGCTAAAGCCGTGGACACATTAGTCGAATCGATCGGCGCCGAATTTTATTCGGCCGAATGGGTGGACACACTAGCCGAATGCTTCGCCCGATTCAACCTGTCGATTGCATCACCTTTCACGTCACATGATTAAACATGGCGGCGTCTATGTCTTCAATCTAGCACGTGACTTCTCGATATGAGTGGTGATTGGCTAATGAATTCTATTGTCGGCAGGCGAATATAATTCGGCCGAATATATCAAACCTGTTTGATTCGGCCGAATGACAGTGGACACACAAGGCGAATTTCGACGCCGATTGATTCGGCCGAATCATTCGGCTAGTGTGTCCACCGCTTGTAAACGAAGTTTCATTGGTCGATGCTTTGGGAAAAGATAAATTTGATTCTATCAGATAGAGAGTGATGAAGCTTAGTGTATAGTGGATAATCAGTTTGAATGCTTGATACTTTTGTTGAAAAAAATAAATGTGCGATTAATTAGGATGTGTCATCTATTTATTTTGGGATTTTAGCAGGGGACATCAGCCTCACTGTTGGCTTGTTTACATTAGGACGTTACTGGTCCGGGCAAAATGGTGCTTTTTACCCATTTACACTAAATATAGGACTTATTTTTTACTTGCATTTACCTCAAGCACCTCTATTTTTCTAATGCTTAAAAAAATGGTCTAGAATTTAATTTGCAGAAGGAAAAAAAGTTAATTCCACTAGAATTAAGTATGATTTAATGGTCGAGAGCGAGACATTAAGTAATATATTGATATTTCCCGAGGCGCTAGCTGAGTGTTGTTTCAATATATTACGCAATGTCTTTAGCTCGACGGGGGGTTTGGATGGCTGAATGGTTAGCACGTGCGCGCTGTATCATAAAGTCTGTCATTGAGTCAACTGGCAGGATTTCGATTCCCCGGTTGTACGTGACAAGGAGTAGGGTCGCCTGTTCAGCCTCGTGGGTTTTCTCCGGGTTCTCCGGTTTCCCCCCACTGCTAAAGACCCCTACGCGCAAGTGAATTATGGAAATAAAATTGAACCATATGTTAGTCCCGAAATGACCAAGTTTGTATCGAGTGGACGTTAAACCCCATTTTTCTCTGTCCCCTTTAGCTCGACACCATTAAACAACTTAAAATACAGATACTATCTCGCATGTCGCATGTGCTTTTCAATGAAATACGTCATGCGTGTCCAATATTTCAGTATAATGTACGATTGGCAATTTGCCCGTACACATTTGGAAATAACGGTATTGCCAACATCAAAGGATGACGTCACATCTGTATTTTAAGTGATGGATAATGGCCGAAGACTGTCCATTATTTAGCCCCTCAGTTCTTTCTGTTTACATAAGGGACAGTCTGAGGCTATTATCAAACATAAAACATAGCACCATAGAAATGAAATGAAATGAAATGGGGTTTAACGTCCTACTGTTCTGCTCCTATACTGGGCTAATGAAGACGGCCATACACCATACAGGGTGCTATGCGGGAAATTTGCCCGGGCAGCGGCACTATCGCCTACTCTTATATCGAATTCCAACTGCCAGGGGATCTTTTACGTGCATTCCAATCTATACACGGGACCTCGGTTTTTCGTCTCATCCGAAGGACTAGACAGCTGTCCTTGCCAGGACCTCCGTTCTGCACCACTGACAAGGGGAAACCTCGTTGGCATAGCACCATAGAGATACAAATAACGGATAGTTTTCTCGAAGAACAAGCAACAAAAATAATGGATAGATCCTTAAAACAACATGCACCTGTACATGAATGCATGTGACAAAACAATCCAGTCATATAATGCAAGCATATAGAGACAGTCCAAAATATTCATTTAACAAAAAGAAACGGAGTTTAACGTCCTACTGTTCTGCTCCTAAACTGGGCTAATGAAGACGGGCATACGCCATACAGTGTGCCATGAGGCAAATTTTGCCAGGGCAGCGGCGCTAAGGCCTACTCTTATATCGAACGGATCTTTTACGTGCAGGCCAATGTGTACACGGGGACCTCGGTTTTTCGTTCCACCCGAACGACTAGACAGCTGTCCTTGTCAGGCCCTCCGTCCTGCATCACTGACAAGGGGAAACCACGCCGGAAAATCTGGATGAACTTTCTGGGCCAATGCAGGGATCGAACACCGTATCATACGGTCTGTCGTTGAGTCAACTGGTGGGGTTTCGAATCCCCGGTTGTACGCGACAAGGAGTAGGGTCGCCTGTCCAACCTCGTGGGTTTTCTCCGGGTCCCGCGGTTTCCTCCCACTGCCAAAGACCCCTACGCGCAAGCGAATTATTGAAATAAAATTGAACCATGTGTTAGTCCCGAAATGACCTAGTTTGTGTCGAGTGGACGTTAAACACCATTTCTCTCTCTCTCAACGTTTAGAGTAAACAAAACTCACACGTGCGTGTGTACATAACGATCACGTGTCCCTAGATTAGAGTATATAAACAGTAATATAGCCATCATCGATGTCTTTTTAAAGTAAACTGTAAGTGGACAACCAAATGAATAATATAGACAAGGGAGGGCAGAGGGTGGTAAGATAAATCCTCGAGCCCACGGGCTATATATTCATATAATTCTTCTCATCCATCGCGCCCGTTTTATATGTTAACAGCCTCAGAGGTAAATCTTCTAAATGAAAGAAAGAATCTAAATATTCTAATAAAATTGAAACGTCCCAAGTAAAAGTGTACTTGGGTCTATGAGAATTTTTTTATCATATAATCCGTTCATAAATTATTTAATATAGAGACCAGTGGCTCATTTTTCAGAGTAATTTTGCCTAAAATTTGCACAGTCTGAGAAATTGCAGATCTATGAGTATTTACCACACTGTAGGAGCGATGGTCTAATAAAAAAACCCTCAAATAATTGATAACATCAATTACAGATGGATCCAGCGGATCAACTTTCCTCAGAATACCCCAACAACACCATCGTTTCCAGGGAAAATCATTTTGTCTATTGGTACCTGCTCTCCAAGATCCAATAATGAGGTCTCTAGACTAAACTTATCTGTTAGAGAGATATTGCCTGATACAAGGCAAATGGTTGGAACATGTGTTTGCCCCTTAATGGGTGATGACAATTGTTGTGAGCTAAACGGAGGACATCTCTCCTGAGAGGTATAAGCACTGGTTCGGCGATCAGCATGGAAAGTAAAGTAGGGAACCATACCTGGGACGGCTAAGCTGGAACTATTATTATAGCCTTCAAGATATAATCTTCCTTCATACTGGAAAGAACTTTTGGTAAAATACTGAAAAATAATTAGACCATGAAATTGAGAAAGCATCAAATGCAACTGCAAAAGGGTCGGGATCCCAGGAAACATAGCAAACAATCTGAGCATTTATTCTGGAAGCAAAAAGATCCACACCTGGAAGAAAGAATTTATTACACACATTGTTAAATATATACTCTTCAAAAAAAGTAGGGGATATTGAAATGCAAATACCTATGCAGGTTGTGATATGATAAATAGTCATGGACACTTGACATGCTTTGAGAGTAT